AATGCACACCTGGTCACAATTCACGGATCAGTTACTATTTAAGTATTCTACTTCTAATAAAAAAAAAAAAAAAATTTAAACCAGAATATCATAAAGATTTGGAGGTGGGGACTTTTTAAAATAAAAAATTTAAACGCTAAATTCTAGAAAAATATAAAATATTTATTATAATATTTATTGTAATAAAAATGTATAGTAAAATTATAATATTATATAGTTTAACATTTCAAATTAAATAAATCAAATAAAAATATTAAATAACTTGCTGGTTCATCGATGTAATCATATTTATTATAATAACAATTATAATATTAGGTTATAATAGATTATAATATTATATATTCTATAATAAAACAATTAAGAAATATGTAGGCTATAATAAAATATCTACTATAATATTTATTTTAATTTAAAAAAATTGCTAAAAGTATATTAAATTATACTAAAATGATCATATTAAATATTCTATAATCGAAAGATTATAATTTAATAAATCAAATAAAAATGCAAAATAACTGGCTGATTCTTTGATGGATGATAAAAACATATATATATATATATATATATATATATATATATATATACAGTATATATAAGAATTAAAATAATAACTTGCTTATTATTTTAAACCTTTTACAGGTTTTACTATAATAAAAAAAAATAATAGACATTTTTGTATAGTTTAACATTATAATGGAATAAAAAAATGCACTAACTTGCTGCAAAACACACGTTTGCCTATAAAGCATAAAGGGCTCATATTATTTATTAGCTAATATCACTCCAGTCCACCATGACCCTTTTCTTTTTAAAGCGCCCCATGGGATGTTATGCTATACTTCATTGTTGCACATTTTCCTCACACAGCTCACGTTATTTACAGTCTAGACCTTTCATATAGCCTACATTAATATTATCTTGCAGAGACAATCCATTTAAGTAATAGCTTGCTGTAGCATCTCAGCTTGAAAATTGCTAAATCTCTCGGTAAGCACTTGTCTTATTTACTTACCGAACCCCTATGAAGGATGTGGGGTGTGTGTCTGTGCGTGTTTATACAGACCGCCATATGTGTGGGAAGCTTTACTCCGCTCGAATAAAATGTGGTTTCAGCTGCGTCAGTGCAGCGGGGCACTACCAATCAGACACAAACCTCTTCAATCAAAACCACCCCTCTTAAAATTCCTCTCATTCCTGCTTCTTAAGACCTAATAATGTTGAAATTAAATGGATTTGGAACACTGGCACATCTGCGAGTGTTTATGTGCGACAAATCTCGTCATACACAAATATACACTTGCGTGCGCTGTCATTCACATGTAAGCGGTGACATGAGCTACTGCATGGAAAGGTTGTCTATATGCACAATAGATTCAAACATTAGCTACCTTTGAGAGTCGAGACATGCACGCATGCATGTAATCACACAATTGCTTTGGCAATCTTACATGTTCAGGGGCTCCGGACTGTCATGGCCGTTCATCTGGCCTCCATCAGAGCCCGGCCTGACAACTTAATCTCAGTCATTCATTCTCACAGATCAAAGCAACACGCTGCAATTTAAACCTATTACCTGTGTATTAAGACATTCACATGTTGTGACCCTCTCTCACACACATGCACAAACACACGCACATGTGACATGCATGCAAAGAACACCACGAGCCTACAACCACAGCGAGATGCATTTGACTTCACACAAAAAATATTTGGCTACGTTTTGACATAGTTATGATTTTTTATGTAATAATTTTAACATATCATCATTTATTTGTTTTTTTATCTGGTGGAAATGGACTTTTGCAACAAGTGTCAATGTAAAAATTTTGGTGTACAAATAATTTTCACTAAAAAATTGCTTGTAAGTTTCACAAATAATTACTCATCAACACGTTGAATTAAAGTAAAACGACTTAAACAGTGCTTTCATGTACTTGTAACTGATTCAATTAATCTTTTTTTTTTTTTAGAACTTTGAAAAATAATTTATCATGGGCTCAATTTGACATCACAACTTTAAATAGGCTAACCACACAACCAATATGACACAAAGCAGATTCTGTCTATTAAAATTCCTCATTCAACCTCAATGAATACAAATGGGATACACACAGATGTTCGGATGTGCCTAATTTCAAACATCCCTCATTACAAAAAAAAAGTGTTTTTCATTATCCAGTATAGTGCTGGAGAAACAATCATCTAGCTAATTGCTTGAACATGCCAAGCCATCTTGAATCTGATGGTTGTTGGTCGGATGATTGAAATTTGTTTGTTAATATCTGTCATTTATGGCAGGGCTGCCATGATCACATTAATATACGGTGGGAAACAACCATCTATGATTCACCTTTGACCTTTATAATGACATGTGCATTACGCAAATAACCATCCACAAATAGGATGTCAATGGAGGAGAGGCTTCACAATCGAAAATGTTCTTTCTTTCATAACATCTGAATAGGAACGCCAATGTGTCATCTGTTTTATTCCTAGGTGGGAATGGTTGTTTCTAATTCCAGGCATAGACCATCTCTTCCTGTTTTTGGCATGCACAGTGGATATAAGGTGTGCTACATTGATAGCCTGAGGGTCATCCAGTAGACCAGACATCCCCGACACGCTTCCAAAATGCAAGCTAGACACTGAAGTTGCTGTTTTATCCCCAATTTGTAATGGCCACAAAAAAGACCATGGGAACAGCCAGAGGAACCCCACACAGTTAACTTTTGAATTATGCAATGACATCTGGTTAGATTTGACCATGTATAAAGTCAGCAAAATCAGCAAGAGGGATATTAGAATGAGGTTTCTCTGTCTGCGCATATAAATTATGTATCAGAACGCTGCTGACAAACATAATAGGGGGGGGGAAAAAGTTATTTGAATGTTTTCAGCTGCAATTTTCTCCTCCATTAAACCATAAGACTTAATACACGTTTAAAGGCAGACACACAATTAGTATGATGTCAAATCATGCTTTGATTCTGTCAGAAAAGTTGACAGCCCTTAAATCAGACCTTAAAAGAACAGATTAGTCCATTTTTCGCATCTGCAAGTAATAAATATTAATAGCTCACAGCTAATTCACCATCAATAGGATTATCGTGATCCCCAATAAAGATAGTTATTGCTCATGCAGTCTGCAGGGCGGCAGAAAGGCCCACAGCCGGAATAATGTGAGGTTTGGAGATGAAGGTCTGCTTTCTGAGCTTTTTTATGACCTGGAGTGCAGCCAGCCGCTGCAGTGACTGTCAGAAAGGGGAATGAAAGCATGAAGAGATATATAGGATATGAGAATGGGGGAGGAAAATTAATAAAGAGCAGATAGGCTATATAGAAATGAAAGATGTAAAATTGCATGGCAAAGATGAGAGGATTCAAAAAGCAAGAATTAATGTGTGCAGTGAGTGTTCATGTAGGCGGATACTGTTTAAATTACACAGTAGGCACAACTAATTATTCTATATTATTTAAAACACATAATGTTTTAAAACATTTTTTTTAAATGAAAGGGATAGTTCACCCAAACATGAAAATATTAATAACTCTTTCCAAAGTATTATGTCGTTCCAAAACTGTAAGACTTTAGTTCATCTTCGGAACACAAATGAAGATATTTTTGAAGAAATCTGAAATCTCTCAATGAACTTTTTGAAGCGTTAAAGTGATGGTTGCGTACGTGTTGCGTACCTCTCAAAATGGGAAAATACTCTCAGATTTCATCATAAAGATTAATCCGCAGTTATGCAGAGCTGAAGGGCAAACAAAATAATGTTTTTCCGCAAAATGCGTGCAGTTTTGTTTTTTTTTAACTGCTAGAGGACTAAAAGTAAGTGCAGGCTACCTTTAAATTTGCATATTTTTTCTTTGTCTTTCTCATTTTTATTCAATAGTAAAGTAGCGCTACTGGCTATGTTTATTAACGTTAGATACCTACCCAGGTAGCAAACAGACGTTGGGCCAACGTCAATTTTGGTTGGTTAGGTTGTCCCAACCTATACGACAGAAATACAACGTTGGGCCAACGTTGGTATGGTCAGCTGCGATGGCCCGACCTATCTGACAGAATTACAACGTTGGGCCAACGTTGGTATGGTCAGCTGTGATGGCCCGACCTATCTGACAGAAGTACAACGTTGGGCCAACGTTGGTATGGTCAGCTGTAATACTTTTTTTTTTTTGTGATCAAATTTTAATTATTATTTCCTTATAGAAAGCAATAAATACAGGTATGTGCATTTTTTTAAAACCTGTCATAATAAAATATGTTTAGTATCCTCTGAGAAGCCTATCTGAATTTGTGTCTTGTAATATAAAATTTTTCTAAAATACAGAGGAGGCATAGACTACTTTCAATGTACTGAAATTAATATGGCATCTTTGAATAACATTGAGTATCATTTGAGTATGTGTGCTGGGCCGAGTGGTTTTTGGTAATCAAAATGGTCACCCTAGTTAAGTATATGGCCTATAATAAAAAAAAAATTATATATATATATATATATATATATATATATATATATATATATATATACACACACACACACATATGATTAATATATGATTAATCACATCCAAAATAAAAGTTTTTGTTTACATAAGGGGTGCACTGTGTATAATTATGTTTTATATACACATTTTATATATAATTTTTTTTTCTTAAATATACGTGTGTGTGTGTGTGTGTGTGTATATATATATATATATATATATATATATATATATATATACACATACATACAATTATAAACAATTATATAATTATTACATATAATTATACACAGCGCACCCACATATATTATGTAAACACAAACTTTTATTTTGGATGTAATTATATAAAAGTATATGTTTATATACATATATATATATATATATATATATATATATATATATAAACATAAATGTTCGCTGCGTGCTTGTCTTTGAAGTGTTTTAATGCGCGTGCGCGTAACGTAAACATGCGAGTCGCATTCATTCAAAGACAGGCGTGCGCGCGAGCAGATTGGAAACAGGAAGCGTCGTCAACTGACAAACAGCATAACGTCTCCCACTGTTTTCATTGGTTTGAGGTAAGTTTAGTTAACAAAATCACACAAATAATACACACAAATGTTCCTGACACCTTTCTTCCGTGTAATTCATACGCTTCTGTTGAATACCTCTTATAGAAATGGTTTTGTGTCTTCGAAAAAGTCCGTTATCATCTCAACCGTTTTCAGAAGAGGTTAGCTAACGTTAAGTTAAGGGTAAGTTTGGGTTTTTAACCCCGTTTTTGTGTATAAGATAACAATTTCTGATAGTTTAGTTTTGCTGGTAATTTATCAACGAGCGATTGGAAGTATTAGTAAGCTCATTTATTTACCTAAAAGAATAAACTATTATTAAGTGACACTTAAAGTTACAAATATTGATTAAAAATGTGATTTCACGAGGAACAGAAAAAAAAAACCCATCCACAATAAAGGGGGACTTATTGTTTAATCATGATAATAATGTCATTTGCATTTATTTCACAATATATTTTACCTTAAGATTTATATAGTTGTGGGACTGTTGGATTTATGCTTTTGAAAAAAGTCTCATACTTAACCCCAGTTTTTTTCAGTGAGACTGCTGAGAAGCTTGTAGGCTAAATAATCTTATAAATAGTAGGCGGCAAATATCATGTTATAATGTTCATAGTTAATAATTATGATAACAGGATATCATCATGGTCATTGATATTTTTTATTTTATTTCTCTAGGTGTGTTTTGAATTAAGTTGGCCAATGATACAAACACCATACTGTCCAACTCAAAGGTATTTATTTATTTATTTGTGTATATTTTTTACTGATAAGTAATTAAATTCTTTTTACTTTTAAATGCTGAATTCAGGGGATCGACAACTTTAGGTACGCAAGTTATTTTTCACAGATATCTGTCCAGTTTACTCATGGCTCATACTCTTAGCCTATAAAATGTTTGAATTTATATCTGCAATGCAATATCAGGGGGTAAAGATATCATTAGAATTCTTAAGGTATGGCTATGTTCTTGTTACCAGATGAGATCTGATCGTTTGGCCCTGTGATTCTTCAGGACATTATCTTGATGCCATTCACACTCAGTACATGACAAAGGTGAGTTTCTTAATAGACCATTTCACAAGATGTAAACAACACTGGTCCAGAAGCACTTCCTGTTTCAGTTTTTTAACACCACATAAAAGCTGGGATAAAATAAAACCAACAGACCATTTAAAACTGAATCAAAAAGTTAAACAAACATCTTTAAGATGTTTCTTTACATGTGAAATAAAGAAAACAGTTACAAACTGAAACAGGAAGTGGTTCTGGACCAGTGTTGTTTACATCTTGTGAAATGGTCTATAGCTGCCACTATCAAAAACCAAGAGACAGAACACAACAGGCCTTCATCCATGAACTCACCCAACAAAGTTTCCAGACAGTTTCCTTTGAATTACAGCAAATTACCATTTCACAAAATTACATGCAAAAAACGTAAAATACATCATTTACTTTACATTCAAAATTGATTCAATTACATTATATTACTGTTGATAAAGGGATAAATGATGTCAAATTACATTAAAAAAACATTTAACTTTCAGGTTAAACTGTAAATTTAGGGTTTTATAAAGTTATTTTATATAATAATGCTGTCTATCTACAGTAATTCTTTTTTAATATATAGGTTTTCTGTGTTAAATTACATCAGTAAAGGCCATCAGTGTGTACTTACATTTACTAGTCATTAAATCATGTTTAATCTGGACTTCCCTGTGCATGCTCTTTGAGGTGGTGACCATAGACCTGCATTATATGACTGACAGACAACACCGGTTTGACCGAAAAATATCAAAATTGAAACTACTGCCGAAACAAAGACACCTACATCTTACCTCATGCCCTTGAGGTAAGCTAAAACATATCAAAAATTAATTTCAAAGTGAACTATCCCTTTAAGGCTGATCCAAAATGTTATTAATTATTATATATGTTCATATATAAGTTTTAAGTAATTTCCATTTTGATAATTACTATATTTTTCTTTAACACAGAAAAGCAGATGCCTCCCACTCAAGTAGATTCCATCAGCTGTGAAAGTGAATGTAAGTGTCTTCCAGTGATTGTTTTTTTCTTCCTTTTTGACTAACCCCACCACTAAACAGAGGTGTATTTCATCTTTACTAGGCGTACACTAGATTTATAATAAATTTGCTACCCCAACATGATGAAAATCTCTCCTGGCTACTAGAAAATAAATCCTACTTCTCCCCCATAAAACTATACACTCAACTATTACTTGTGTAATTAAAATAGAATGACACGTATCTTAAATGTTCTAAAAAGTTGTTTGTATGTTTGTTGTTTTTTTACAGGAGTATACGCTGCGTCTCCTCCTCCACTCCGTCTTCATCATCAGAGCCACTAAGTGTTTTTTTGTCTTTTTGCCGCCTCCTGCATTTTCTTTGCTGCCTTTTTTGTCACTTTTTGGGTCCTTGTTGATTTCTTTGGCTTTGTTTTAATTTTGTTCGCATTTTTTTTTACATCAGCAACACAACACGTTGTGAACTGCATTAAACATTAATAAGTTAAATTTGTTACCAATAAAAAGGGTAATTTTATAACCAATTCAGTTTGTCTGTTGTGCCGTCTCTTAATGCAATTCAACTATGAATAGGCCATTTCACAATCTTAAAATTTGAGCGTAAAGTAGCCTATAGGTAAACCTATTTAGTTTGTAAGTTTGCGAAGGTCATCTGACTGCTGAATTGGCCCAACGTTGGCCCAATGTTGTTTTAGTGGTTTTTAGGTTGGCTGAAGGTCTGCTGAATGTCCAATGACATGGTTGGCCCAACGTTGGCCCAATGTTGTTTTTGTGGTTTTTTGGTTGGCAAAAGGTCTGCTGGCCATCCAATGACATGGTTGGCCCAACGTTGGCCCAACGGACAAAATTACGTTGGGCCAACGTCAGCACCCAACGTTGGCCCAACACAACAACAGACGTTGGGCCAACGTTGGGCCAACGTCGGTTTGCTACCTGGGTAGTTGCTTCCAATTCCAATTGATCCCGTCTGCAACAACTGAACATGGTGTGTATAGGAAAATAATTATATTTGAACAGATTTGGTGTTTATGTGTTAGGTGGATTGTTTTTTCATTTGTTTATTCGTAGACAGCTGAAGGTATGGGCTTTAAGTTCAAAAGAACCTAGCATAGATGCTAGTTGCTGTAATTTGCACATATTGTAAACCGCTTTTACGTAACTAGCCTACAATTAAACTTTAAAATGCTCTACCATAAAACCAAAGACTTAATTTGAACGTATTTTGTGTAAATAGCCTACATGGCTTTGAAATACATTTTCCCCATTAACACAAAACATTCCCTTTCAGCTAGCATGACTGGCATTTATATATCTTATGAGTAAATATGCCCATTAAAATCAGATGGGTTCATTGTATTATTTTTTTTAAATAATTTGAAAACAACAGTTTTATTGGTTTTCACAACAAAGATGTAGAACATTTAATTGAGGCTTAATGATTTTTTTTTTTTTGTCTCTGAGAATTTTTATTTGTAGCCTACAGTAGTATAAAGTGAACCCAACATCTGTTTTAATGTAATCTGGGGAGTAGGGGCAGGACAAGTTGGCAAAGTGACACATTCAGCCATGATGACACCACTAGGGGGATTTTCGTCCTTTGTTCATGGTGAAACTCTTTAAAGGAAAGGTTAACTGATATTTTACATTTTGACTATAACCCCATAAATATTTAAAGGGAGAATATATAATCTGTTACTAGACTGTGCCATCTGATTATGCCAAAGGCTGAAGGTTATCCTTTGGTTATCCAAATTCATTTCCATTACAGTATGTTTGTGTCTTCACACTCAAAGCTCAAACTCTGAAATGGTTCCTTTAACCTCCTTCTTTTAAATGCATAAATGTCAGTTGTTTTATGTGCATGAGTTAAGATTTCATTTACCACAACAGACATAAACATTTGTATTGCTGTATCTCTTCATGTCACATCCTTCTATAGTAGTCCACATATTATTGTATGTATTTAATTTTTTCCTTGAATGAAACATCAGAGTGCCCAAAAGGCACATAAAGTAACATCTCTCACCCCATTAAGGAGAGCAGGTTTTGGTGCTGGCATATATATATACAGTTTCTGGAATTCTCCATGTGGCTGGATCACATTAACTTTGCTCTCCAGCCTCAGGAATCTTTCATACTCTATCCTTCAGATTCACCAAGCAAAAGACCCAGAAAAAGAAATATATCAAAAGTTTCAGCGAATACGTTTTCGCTGTATGGAAAAATAGGTGTGTACTGACAAGGGTGAGTAAAAAATATCATAATTTTCATTTCCTGTTAAACTAATTCCCTTTAATTTTCTGTTCTCATCACATAAAGATGCCTATTTCCGGTATAGGAAGTTCAATGGCATGAATCACAAAGGTACTGAAAACACATGTCAGGTACAGTGAACAAATGTCATCAAGGTCACTTGTTTGAAGTAGGCAGGGAACTGCACTCGTTTAGCGTTCCACAGTGAGGCAGTAGAGTGCTCCTTTTCAACCCGTTCAATGCTTCAGATTCAGGCCAGTGGATCACAGTCATTCATCTGTGCTCCTGGGAAGCTGGAACAACGCTGGCCATTACGCAGAGACGCGACACACTGCTATTACCAAAGTGACCTGCGTGTTTTTCCACTCGGTTTGAAAGGACTGTCATGTCCAAGACAACAGTTCACTCGTCATCTGAGGGCGCAAAAACAACAACATTAAAGGGATGAACCGCGTGCCGTTTGAACAGGTGCATCCCAGATCACCATCAGAAAAGTTCTTTTACTGACTCGCTGTGGAAATGGATTACCGGCTGCTGGATTTCATGCAACTTTTCATGCAAACTCTGTTTCCAAACGGACAGTGAAGGAGATCTCTCCAAACTCAACTGACCATGCACTGGGACATGCATCTTCTAACTATGGATAACTAACCTGGTTTTACACACACTACTAAAGATGAAACCCCTTGGGAATCCTCAGTTTGTGATGGTGATATTGAAGTGCGCAATGGTCTTGTTTCTTAGATTTCTGCAGGGCTTCACAGGTGAGTGAAATAAATCTGGTAGAACATATCTATCTATCTATCTATCTATCTATCTATCTATCTATCTATCTATCTATCTATCTATCTATCTATCTATCTATCATAAACTTGAAATTATAAAAATTGCTTATACATTTTGTGGGAAGAAGGGTTCATTAGACTTCTCCTTGTATAATAATAATCAAATGGTCAGATGTATAAACGTAGTGTGAGATCTGGTTTACATTTTTGATGCATTTAGTGTTTATTTAAAGCTTAAGCTGTGTAATATTTCATATTTTCATAACATGATAACATCCATTTGTAAACTGACACTTTTAATGTATTCTTATTTATAACTTTCTTAAATGATTATTAAACTTTTCTTTCGCTTTTCTTGTCACACCTAACTATTGTTACTGGAGAAATGGCACAGCTTTTGTGAAAGCCCAACTGTGAGGTTCATTAAAGGCTCAGGTTGTCAAACATTGGTTTGTGACATGCCAGAACCTGACTGTAGTGTTTACACAAGTGCAATGTTCAAAAATGGTACATTTCAGTTCATCAACATGAAAGTTTGCCATGCATGATTCATTCTTGAATGTATGTGCAATGCATATGTTGTCTCTTTTACAGAGTCCAGATGTGTTGGTCGTGCTTGCAGCCCTCCTATGGGTAACTTGGCCAGTGGCAGGACCCTTTTCACGCTGACTAGCTGCTGCACTAATAGCTCTTCCTGCCTGCCAACCCAGCCACGCTGTCTAGCAGAGCCTCATCCTCCTGCCCTCATGGCCGATGACCCGTTTATTCATCCAGATACCTGGTGGGGCTCAGCGGCGGCCACTGGAGAAAAGGAAGAAATCCGTCTTGACTTGGAGACACGGTTCTGCATGAGTCACGTTGTGATGTTGTTCCGTTCTCCACGTCCTGCTGCTATGAGGTTGGAAAGCTCACAGGACTTCGGCCAGACCTGGGAGACACTAAAGCTGTTTGCCAGGAACTGCACTGAGATGTTCGGGCTTCCTGATGATGTAAGTCAACCAGGAGCTGTCTGCACTTCCAGATATTCCAACGCGGTCCCGTGCAGCCGAGGAGAGGTAAGGAAGGGAATAAGGTCTCCAAAGCACCACAAAACATCATTTTTAAATGCTTCAGCAGGATTAAATAAAGGATTTTAGTCACTTTTTCAAAACTCTTTACACAGTGAGCACAACAGCAGTTTACATGGGCAGAACTGTGGGAAATTTTCTATTGCTTTGGCACAAAATGCATTCAGTGACTACTTTTTCAAATGACAAGTAACACCCCCAAAACTGTACCTATGCAATTTGTACATGGTTCAACTTACTGTAAGTTCAACATCTTAGCAACCACAGAAACGATGCATTGGCAACTACCGGCAGTATAATGTTTTTTTTTTTATTTATTTAGTTTTTTTACAAAGCTAAATTTTGTACGTCATCGTTTTATGATTTTAAGAATCTCCAGGTTCGATTGTACCTTATAATAAACATAAACAAAACATATTTTGAGAAAGAAAATAAAGCCTGTTTTAGAGCCATTATGGTTATGTTTAAAGTCCCATTGTCATGACTGTAATGCAATTTAAATATATTAAAAGTATTTTTACATCATGATAGTATTGTATCGTTTTTAAATAAAACGTGTTAAGGTATTCTAAATGATGGATTAAATAAAGCAGGATTAAATAAAGGATTTTAGTCACTTTTTCAAAACTCTTTACACAGTGAGCACAACAGCAGTTTACATGGGCAGAACTGTGGGAAATTTTCTATTGCTTTGGCACAAAATGCATTCAGTGACTACTTTTTCAAATGACAAGTAACACCCCCAAAACTGTACCTATGCAATTTGTACATGGTTCAACTTACTGTAAGTTCAAATACAAAACTGAATATGATTGCAATTTGCTATATTTCTGCAGTCATACCATATTTAAATATGAAGAGTTCAGATGCAAAAGCCTCTAAATGCCATTTGAAATTTTCTTCTTTAATGATGATTTTTTTTTTTATCAAACTTGTATATTTAAGTTCAGTAATTTCACTTAAATAACAATTAATAGGTAATTATCATTGCCATTTAAGTGAAATCACTGAACTTAAATATACAAGCTTGATAAAAATGATCATTCTAGAAGAAAATTTCAAATGGCACTTAGAGGCTTTTGCATCTGAACTCTTCATATATTCTAAATCTAAAAAAGGAAATACTGTGAAAAATATTAGATGTAGACAAACATTTACACAGGTGATAGTCTTTTAATTTCATTGCCATCTATACAAAAGGGGGCAATTTGGGAATAATTTTGGACTATAATGTAAACTTGGACAATGTAACATACTGTAATACTGCAGGGAATTTAGTAGTAGAGAGGTGTCATTTTTGTTTTGTAAAGATACTTTACAAAAGAAATCATTGTGTAATGCTACCTGTTGTTAGTGTTTTTAGGTCATTTTTTTATGTGACAAAGTGTGTTTGTTGGGTGAAAACCTTTGCTAGTTGATTCGAGACTTGTGATATGTTTTGGAAGTTTTTGTGCATTTTGAATGTAAAATTAATTGCTGAAAGAAGAGTTTAGAAAAAGTGACCTAAGTACTCAGAAATGCTTGCTGTAACTGTAACAATATAAAAGTTATTCTTACGTTTACTTTAAACAAAATCATTAAACATTTCACTGCAAAAAAAACATATGTACCATGACCTGAAGACAGAATTTTTTTAAAATTATAAACCTTCATTCAGTCGTAAGAAGGCATGTAGTAGATTGTTTTGATTATTTATAGGCCTTAAAATTTTACATATCAAATATGATCGGCTTTATAAGATTAACCAGCGTTTAAACCAAATATCCCCCCGTTCGAGTACAACTATGGTGAATTTAAATCTCACTTCTCTCTGATGCTTTTTGATATATGACAATGCATCATCATTTGTTTTCTAATTCTCTTATAGATCATATTCCGATCCATAGGATTGGGAAGTGGGATTGTCGATCCATACAGTCCCGAGGCGCTATCCCGTCTGACAGTAACTAACATACGAATACAGCTTTTAAAATCTCAACAGTGTCCCGTCTCGAAGGGGCAGCGGAGCGTCCCGCCCTTTTTACCCACAATTCACAGCAGGATGCTGACTTCTCCCACACCCAGTTCTGATCCCCTGGATTCAACCCCATTTGCTGTGTACTCTCTTTTGGCTAAAGGGACGTGTTTGTGTCATGGCCATGCTGAACATTGCCTTCTTGAAAATGAAGGGCAAGACGGCTTGCAACCCAGTAATGTGGTAAGTGTGTCCGTTAATGATTTTTGGGACATCATTTCATGGTAGGGTCGATGTTAGCCTGATATGGGCTTGAGGTATGGGCCCTTAATGGCTTTGTCGATTAGTTCCCTGTCACACCTACCTGAATTAGCCTTTGTAGGGCCCATATCTCAAGCTTATATCGTTCCTACATTCGCCCCACCATGAAATATCATACTTGAGGGTGTAGCCTATACTGTGCACTCACTCACCCGGTAGTTAGGAGAATAGGAAGTGGCCTGTTAAATGTATTTTTTACAAGGCTTTGTGGGGCTTGAATGGGCAGCAATTGAGAGTGATTCATTCCTCTGGAGCGCAGGTGCCTGGCAAGTGTGTGTGTACCCACCACACAGCGGGCGATCACTGCGAGAGGTGTACCCCGCTCTACAACGACTTACCCTGGAGAGCAGCCAATGGAAGCAGCGGGGAGAGCAACCCATGCCAGAGTGAGTGCGTTTACTGTACGGGCTGATTTAATCCTTGAAAATGGAAAGGAATTTGTGCCATGAAAGGTTTTTTTATATATATTTTTACTTTCTAATGCAGGAAGGATCCGATACATATCTTAGAACCACAATACCATAGGGGGTTGTTATGTTACTGTAAGCAATGATCCAGAACACAGAAACAAGGGTCTGAACATCTTAGCAACCACAGAAACGATGCATTGGCAACTACCGGCAGTATACTGTAATGTTTTTTTTTTTTTTTTTTTTTTTGTTTTTTTTAAAGTTAAATTTTGTACGTCTTCGTTTTATGATTTTAAGAATCTCCAGGTTCGATTGTACCTTATAATAAACATAAACAAAACATATTTTGAGAAAGAAAATAAAGCCTGTTTTAGAGCCATTATGGTCAGGGGCGCAACTACCTATTGTTAGGGGGGTATGCAGAAACAATTTTGGCGCCCCCCCCCCCCCCCCCACATGGTTATGTTTAAAGTCCCATTGTCATGACTGTAATGCAATTTAAATATATTAAAAGTATTTTTACATCATGATAATATTGTATCGTTTTTAAATAAAACGTGTTAAGGTATTCTAAATGAAAAGTAACAATTCATAGTTAGTTAATATATAAATAAATAAAAAAAATGACTATTGCAATAGTGAGAATCACCATTAATGTAAATAATTAAATAGTGAAATGCTGGGAGAAAATCGGTTTATTATGATTAAAATCTGAGTTTTGAAATAGACATATAAGATATAATATAATAAAGTAAATATAAATAAGAAAATGACTGTCCAAAATTCTGAACCACCCCTTTAATCTAGTGAGCATCTGTATTACGAATAATGGAAGTTACAAAAGAGTGAAATGGATTATTTTTTATGATTATAAAAATTTTTAATGAAAAAAAAACAAAAAACGTAGAACAGAATTTTAAATAAAAGGCTAAATAAATAAGAAAATGTCTGTATTATAATATTGAGAATCAAGTGAGAATCGCTATTAAGAATAATGTAAAATACAAAAGAGAGAAAATGGCTGGATGCATATCTTAATTTTAAAACTGGATGTGTGAACAGGACTGTGGACAATATTATTTGCTTAAATAAGAGTTTAAAATTTGATAATTGAAATGTCAAGGATTGTTTCTCAGGTCTTGGATGATTCTTTCTTCCATAATGTCTCTTTCTCTCCCTCTCTCTGTGTTCTCATTCTCTGTCTCAAGAGTGCGAATGTCACGGCCACGCAGAGAGCTGCCACTTCTCCCAGCGAGTGTGGCTGTCCACAGGGGGCAGTAGTGGGGGTGTCTGCGACAACTGCCAACATAACACTGTGGGCCGCCGTTGCCAGCGCTGTCGCCCTGGATACCACCGCCACCCTGCCAGACCCCTCAACTCCCCGCATGCTTGCACACGTAAGACCTCTAGAAAGAAGAGAAGGAACAGACAGACAGAACAAAGGGTTCTGCACTCAAATATTTGTTTTTAATTGAAATCAAATTTGACTAATTGTATCTTATTAATGCACATTCCAAGTCTTATAGTGCATATTATTATTTAGTTGTTTTTTAAAGAAAACTTTGTAATCGTTAAAACTTTATAATAAGGTGTCATTTGTTAAAGGTACAATTTTGACCCTCAAGCGAAAACATAAGTGGTTAGCGACCCCTGGTGGCGAAAAATCTTGCATATTGTACCTTTTAAGAGATATAATCAGCTTAGATAGAAATAAAGACATCAGGTCATTACTGAACTGAGCCTTCACAATAGATCATGCTTTACAGTGAAAAGTTAATAGAAGTGGCGTTAATAAAATACCTTACTCGCCTGCCGAGTAATAAAAACGGCATCTTTGCATTTACAACATTTAAAATCCCTCTCGCCATCTCCAAAAAGCCAAGCCAATGTTGATTCTTGTTTTATTACGAGTTCTGTCACGTTGCAAACAGAAGCTCCTCTGTTCAGCGTTTTTTTTAAATGGGTGGATTGGATTCCTAGAGATTCGAGATTTAGTCATGCTTTCTCAGCTAACCTATGCCACTTCCACACCATACATGCGTCAAAATAGCTCAGTGCAATAGGAATACAATAGGAAAAATGAAAAAAAAAGTCCTTTAAAATAAAATAAACAACCATTACAAATTGACTAAAAAAATCCTTGGCAAAAGAACACCTTAGCAGTCACATAGCTACGCCTTAGCAACTATTAAATCTTAGCATAGTGATGACATGTTTTGCATGGTCAAGTACTCCTCATTTCCTTCGTAAAAATCATTTACACTACAGTATTGCATTGCCTCCTAGTGGCGGCAGTATTACACAGACCACTAAAGTGACTCAAAAGCAGTAGGAAGAACTAATGAACAAATTTCTTTTCTGTGGCAGGATGCTGGTGTGACCCATTTGGTTCGGTGCCAATATATTTTGGCGATGAGACACCATGGTGCCATCCTAGAAGTGGACAGTGCCACTGTAAACCTGGTGTGGGGGGCACCACCTGCAGCCACTGTCTACCAGGGTACTGGGGCTTTGGAGAGGAGGGCTGCAAACCTTGTGGGTGCCCCTTGACCTGTGACCCCATCACTGGTCATTGCCTAGACAGGTCAGGCTTATGCGTACACAAGCTAAATTTTCAGTTCTCTCCGTTCTAAAATATAAGAAGTCTTGATTTGAAATGAAAACATTGAGCATTAGGAATCTCAAAAACAAAAATACAAGTCGAATTTTAATTGCATTTCTGCTGGGGATTTTCATTATATAACTTCCTTTTTACAGCAAAGGCAGTGTGAAGCTTTACAATGTACCAATTGGTGGGAAAATTCCTGAACTGTCCCAGTTTAAACCTCAAGAGGACGAGAGGGCGTGGCCTAAAGAACTTGCCGTCTCTGCACTGTACTATACAGGTGAGCTGACTACAGGAACACTGTTGTGAAACATGGTAAACCACAGCAGGAAATGTGACTTTAAGATGTGGATTTTTTAAAAATGTGGTTTTATATGTGGTTCCTTCAAATGGAAGGCTGAAATGATTATGTATTGCAATGTAAATGGGTGAATGACTGATGAAACATAAACGTTGGTAAATACAAATCTTGCTCCATGCATATTCTTTCTTCAAAGTAGTGAGAACGACTGACAATCTGCATTAATAGACACAGTTTTAGGTAATAGTGGCCAACAACTGATTAGCATAAGCATTTCAGTAAGACGGTAATGACATGAGTTAGCCAGTTAGCAGGAGACCTACACAATATAAAACTCAAAACTAAAGTATTCTGAACACCATCTTTCAAGAGCAAGCGAATCCTACAGTGAACTCCGAGATTTGAGAAGCAGTCGTCAGTAAAATAAAGGGAACACAGCAAAAGTTTAGGATTATACTGCTGTGATATCATGGTAAAGATGAATTTTAACCACTGATTCTTCACATGCACATCCTTGGGCAGTGAAAAAAAATCTGATATCCATGTCATTCTTTCTTCAGTCGAAAAGAAATTAAGGTTTTTGATGAAAACATTCCAGGATTTTTCTCCATATAATGGATTTCAATGGGAACCAAACGGTTCAAGGTCCAAAAGACAGTTTCAGTGCAAACTGCAAACTGTTCAAAGGGCTTTAAACTAATCTTTTTTTGTGTCATTTGGTTCATTCAACGAACGAAATTGTTGAGTTGACTCGGGAAAAGATTCGTTCGAACAGGAGAGTCACAAGCGCGCATCACAGAACAGAGCAAGGTGAGCATTTGAGCTTATAAAACTTAAACTTTGTTATTTTTTCTTAAATGAGCGATCGTTTCGCTTGATAAGACCCTTATTCATCGTCTGAAATCGTTTAAAGCCCTTTGAACCGTTTGCAGTTTGCACTGAAACTGTCTTTTGGACCTTGAACCATTTGGTTCCCATTGAAGTCCATTATATGGAGAAAAATCCTGGAATGTTTTCATAAAAAACCTTAATTTCTTTTCGACTGAAGAAAGAATGACATGGACATCTTGGATGAGTAAATTATCAGCAAAAGTTTTTTTTAAAAGTGAACTACTCCTTTTAATATTTTTGTGAAAACTGTGATACATTTTTACCGAACTCCTTGATAAATAGAAAATTCAAAATAACAGCATTTATTTGAAATCATCAATAAATGTGACTGCATTAAATCTTATAGGCTTCCTTTCATTTGTGGAAAAATATATATATATATATATACATATTTTATTATATTCTAATTTCTTTGAGATTAAAATAAGTTGATATGTACAGAACTTGTGACGTTAAATGTGAATTCTCTCCAGGGAAGTGCAGCTGTAGAGAAAAGAAGCTGAAAAGTGTGGCTGATCTTTGCAAGATAAAATATGCATATGGTGAGGCTTTTTCATGATAGTAAATAATTCGATTAATCGATTCTGATGGCATTTGCTGTCTAAACGGATAGTTGAATCTAATGAGTGAACTGACTGTTTGTGTTGGCCGTAGTGATCAAAGCCAGTGTGCTGTCAGCTCATGATAAAGGCACACACGCTGTTGTCTTGGTGAAGGTGAGGAAGGTCTTCCGTTCTGGAAAACTGCCCCTCTCCCAGGGCACACACAGTCTGTACCCACTCTCTTGGACCAGCCGTGGCTGCACCTGTCCCATCCTCAACCCAGGTACAGCGCATGGTAAATGGCCGAGTTATCTGGGCCACAGCTTGGGTTCAGTCAAGTTTGCCATTTGAGTCACTGTTTTGTCTCCATCTTTAGGTGGGAACTATCTGCTGGCAGGTCCTGAGGAAGTGGACTCAGGGAGGCTACTGGTCACCATGCAGAGTCTGGTAGTCCCTTGGACCCCCATCCTGGGCTTTCAAGTCACAGAAGCACTGCATCAGGGCTGCCTATGAGCACAACTTTACCCAAATGTACAGTTGCACAACACCATGGAAGTTTGTTTCCAACACAGAATAAAAAAGGTAATCGTGCCTTTAGCATATCTTACAATTCTGACTTTTTTTCCATCAGAATTCCAACTTTATAATTTGCAATTGTGAGTTTATGATCCTCAATTTTAAGGAAAAATGAAATAAACTTGCAATTGTGTTTTTCCTCTCAATTCAGAGTTTGACACACAATGACTTTCACAATTGCAAGTTTATTACAGTATCTCAAAAATCTGAGTTTATCTTCCACAATTCAGAGAAAATTCAGAATTGTGAGATTTTAAGTTGCACATTAAAGTCAGAATTGGGGAATAAAAAGTCACAATTACTTTTTTTTTTCTTTCTGATGGTAACAATCTTCCATACATCACTGCCCAAACTTGAAAGCCCTCACTTGAAATGATGCCATTATACCAAAGCAGGCAGCTGGATACTTAATGTACCATGACCACCGGATGCAACTGAAAATAGAATGTGTGGGTAATTACCAGAAACAAGATTCATGAACCAGTCGCATGGAAAAGTGCACTTAATAGTCAGTTAAATAAATATTGGGCAAGGCTCTTTAAAAAAACTGTTCATTTAGGTGTCTGTCATGTGGACATGAATATCATAAGTGCATAAACTCAGAACATGGATATGGCATTCATGAGCCTGATTGAACTGTTTTTGTACTTGTTTCTCTGTGATTATTAGATTATACTCATTAAAGGATACTCTAAACTCAAATGATAAGTATGAGCCAATGAATCCATAGGCTCACGAGGACTGCAGGGCTTTTTTAGTGATTCATTCATTAATTATTTTGTATTTTATTAGCTTCTTTGCTTACATTTCAGTTTTAAAAATACATGTGAACATGTCACAATTGAAAAACAAAAGATATGAAGGACTGATTCAAATTCTTCCAGGGCTTATTATGCATGATTTGGTTCTGTATCTTATTTTATTAAATAATTTTACAGATACATCATAAATGAAAATATGAGATTTGTTTAATCAAAACAAGAATGGTCACATTAAGGCTTCGAATGACAAATTTCAATCCAAGCACAGTTGCTCTTGGTACAAAACAGATTTGTAAATGTCACTGGTGACACTTTACAATAAGGTCTTATTTCTTAGCATTCGGTAATTACTCAAATGAACAAGTATTGTGCATTTAGTACTGATGTAGTTAGCTAATGTTCACAAATCAAACCTTATTGTAAAGTTATCATGACTGAATTTATCAATAAACCACATGAGCTTAAACCTATTTTAAGGTTACAAATGTTAGCAATAGCATGTGTTGAGAACGGATCTAGAATTATCCCTCGATGTTAGATACTTCTTTTAAACAAAACCTACTAGTCTTTGAAACAACAGATATTTTAATGTTCTTATTGAACAGAAGATCTTATTTTCGACGTGTTGTTTCCCCATTATAATCGTTTTAACGCCAAAACACTGTATCATCGGTTGACAGATGAGTTTACTCACTCACGCCCTCTACCGTTTGTACTGGCAACTTCAGGCTACTCGCTTCAAACCTCAACAACAGAACATTTCTTCATCATAAAATTGTTTAATCGTGTTTTACAACAAAAATCAACACAGGAAATGTATATAGACAAGTTATTTTTTCATCCCAAAACTGCACAGTCGTCAAAGTACAACCGCCAAACGACCTTTGATCTGTGGTAGTACAAAAGTCAAACTAGCTGAGCTTTGGTTGTGGAGGAAATTATAACCAGAAAATACAAAGCTGGATGATTCAGAGGGGCCATACTCACCATTTCGATCCCCAAAACTCATTATTTATAGGTCCCTCAAGTGCATGTTAATGTCATTTGAATATTTTAATCAAAAACCCTGAAGTCTAAGGGCTTCCCCCCTCTCTGTGCATCATGCAGCCAGGTGGAGAGAGCATTGTAGTTATCCAGCGTGTTTAGATATGATCTCTGCATACACGAAAGTGGAGCTGTCTCTGCTGTGAGGTGAGGTGGGAATATAGCCTGGGTAATATTAGCTAGCTGCTGGGTTTTCTGTGGCTGCTGGTGCGGAATCAGGAGAGGATGTAGGGAGAGAGTCAGTGGAAGTGGATTCGGTGGGTATAGTATCGGTCCCACCAGAGGGGGCGCTGTCATTGTCGTCTTCCTGGGGGTAGAGCTCAGGGTATTTCTGCATACATTCCTGCATACTCCGGAAGTTTTCCACACAATCGGACCCCTTCACCTCCTCTTTGCTATAGTGGAAACAAGAAAAGGCTTCCTTGAACTGCTGTCCACAAGGGCCACTGGCCATACCGCCCAGACACGGGCAGTTCCAGTTTATGTCACCATTAGGTAGAATAAGGCCTGTTGGGTCAAAAGAAATGAGCGTCAAATTGGTATTCTGGAGATTAGACATTGTCATATTTAGGCTAAACTATGCAAAATGATCATTATTATTTTGTACATTTAATTTTTGTATTTTGTAAGTAAATCAAACTTACCGTGATCTTCATACGGATCATTAGGGTCGTCTTCGATTAGCTCAGCGTTACTTGGTGCTTCATGGTCCTCTTTTGTGACAAATATGACGCGATCTTTACCTATTTTGAGAAAAGAATGAAGTTACACACAATGATAAAATAGGAATATTCTCTATTTAAAAACATAATGATAACTAAAACTCTTAAACATGTTCTGAGATTACATTACATAGACATCTACTGAATTTCCTGAAAGGGATGAATAAAGTATTCATCATCGTACACACACATTTAAAATAAAAAAAAGCAAATGACAACTAACATGAAAAAATACATGAAATAAGTCAATTCTAAATATTAATAAATACTATAATAGAGCATATACACGTTATATATACATGTGTATATATACATATACACTTTAAATGACTCAATTTTGAGGGCAAACATGACTTGAGTGAAGAACTTTACATCCACCCTTGTCAATAAATCTATGTGCCAATGTGTAATAGTGTATGTTGACGTTCATATTGTTAAAATATTTATATCACTCTGTTCATAATGAAAAAAAATAACCATTATGTGTAACCATAAAAATACCCATAATCAAATAAAAAATAACCATTTGGTGCACTTAAAATTACGATGACCTTGCAGGCGGCTGCGGTGTGTAGGGTGACACAACATACAACGTTGGTCATTCAGTCATCATAGCCTTAAGTTCATCTGTAGTAATACTTCACCAAACGTGTACACACATAATATAGGATAGTTTAGCACGACACATTTGAACACTTCTGAAAAGATTATTTGCAGCCGATAAATATTTAAATAACTCATTGATATTATGAAGCATGGCTGAGGAGAGTGACTTTTGCTGGCATGAGGAGCACTAGCCGCACAGCTAAACGAAAGTAAAACATAGGTATAAAATGGGTTTAAACAGTCCGATTTAGTTGAATCATACCTTCCTGTTTGCAGTACGACATATCTGCTGACAGATCCGTCTGATTGCCGTTTAACCGATCAATGAAACTCAAACACCGGTACAATGATCAATCCACACGCCTGTTACATCAAACCCAGCATGGAGGCAGGCAGCTACTGTAACCACGTGACGTCACGGCCAGATTATATAAAAATAAAAGTCATCGTGATATTTCAAAATAAAGGTGTAGGAAATAACGCTTCCCTTGACGAGGGAGTAATAGTTAGTTGTTACTTTTCAAATGCGAGCGTGCCTTATGTCATATGTACAGTACAGATAATATTATTTTATCGTTGTCCAAGACAGACTTAAGTCTTAAACTATGAAAATCCATAAAATAATTAGGCTATTTGATAATCCATCAAATAAACACAAACTACAAAATTAATAATGTAGCCTATTATTTTGGACATTGTAGTACAACGTAACTACCCATGTGAGAGTGTGAAAAGTGTGTGGGAGTGTATTTGGTCCCTGAGTTTAAGAAAGAACCAAATCTGTCAAATAATTGTTTAGTTTTAAGACAGTGATAATAATTCTAAAAATAATAATGCTCTTTTCTGCCGTTTTTGTGTGCCGGCTGCCCAGTTTCTTCTCTATTACCTTGGGAATCCCAGTCTCAGGAGACTGAAGAGTTGCAGCCAGATACTGTCATGCCCTCAGACTCCACTGACAGCTTGTCAGGAAACAGCGTGCAGCCTGTGTTTTACTAATTAACTGAGGTACCTGAGGTGAACTAGATCCCTGTGTTTTTCAGATGGCATGCCTCATTACAGAGGACAGGGATGAGTGCTAACATACTGAGGAAAACAACAATTTTATTGGTGTGTGTGTGTGTGTGTATGTGTGAAACAAACAAAAAACAAACAAACAAACAAACAAAAACAGTAATACCACTGACCCCAAACTTTTGAACGGTAGCCTGTGAACTTTCTATTCATCAAATAAAATTTAAAAAACTGTTTTCAACATTGATAATAATATATTGATATAAAAGAAACGTTTCTTGAGCAGCAAATCAACATATTATAATGATTTCTAAATAATGATATTGAAAACTGGAGTAATGATGCTGAAAATTCAGTTTTGCATCACAGGAATAAATGACATTTATTAATATATTAAAATAAATATATTAAAATATAAACAATTCTAAATAACATTTTTTGCAAATAAATGCAGCCTTAGTGAACATAAAATACCTTCTTTTATTTTTTTTTTACATAAACATTCTTACCAATCCTACATCCAACTTTTGGATGGCATTGTACACACACACACACACACACACACACACACACACACACACACACACACACACACACACACACACACACACACACACACACACAGTTTATAATAAATACGTAAATATTCCATGCAAAAATAAGAACTGTCCATTTTGATTTCATGGCGTATTGCCGAACATACAAGGAACATACCACAAGGTGGCAGCGTCTCTTTTAAGCGTAGCAGCTTGGTGACTGTTCTTTAGAAGAGAAACATCCAGATTCTTAAAAAAAAAAAAGAAAGAAAGAAAGAAAGAAAGAAACCAGTTAAAACATACTGAAAACACCTTCCATCCACTTTATGCATCTCTTTCCCTTCTCCCTTGCCTCTACATCCTGTTTGCTCTGGCGGCTTGTCTTTTAGGCTATACATTGTCTTTTGGAGTTTGCCCTCTGGTGGCAGCTGTCAATATTCTTGGGGTTGTGAATGTGTGGGTGACCTTCAGTTCGGTCACTTTTTTATCTAGAGAAGATGTAGAGCTGCAACATATGTCACACCAACCATCATTACAGGCTCTCTTATCAATGTGCTGCTGGTGGGTGTGCTGTGACCTGTGACGCAGCTTCTGCTAACCTTGAAAAATGTTCACGTCAGGGAACTGTATCGATCTACATATGAGATAGAGAGCAGTTTAGGATTAGTTCACAACAAAAATGTAAATATCATTTGAAATGATCAGTGAAATGTAATTTACTACAGTATGTATGTGTGTATAATGTATATAATGCACACACACACACACACACACACACACACACACACATAGCATAGGCTATGTGACATGTCAATGTGGTCACTGTATGCCACTATTGTGGAAAATAGCAACATAAAAGTTCTTCAGAACATCTAATTTTGTGCTAGACGGAAATTTAAAATAACACAGGGTTTTTGGAACGAAATCAGAAGTTTTCATTTTTATTTTTGGCTGAACTAGGCTATTCCTTTAAAACTTTTTCTGAGAGTCTGTGTGGCCAGCTTAGATATAATTGTTCTCCGTCTGAGCTTTTAGGATATGATGAATATGAGAGATAATTATAGACTTCTAATGCTAGAAATCCCTCGCTTCGTTTACAAAACAGCTATATTGCAATTGTAAAATAAATAGAGCATTCTTGAATTTATTGAAGCCGTGTAGGCGGTCTGATGCTCGTTGACTGGCTATCCGAAAGCTTAGCTTATATAATTGCTTCGGTCTGGGCATAGCATGCATGTTGGTTGTACTTGCGTTCGAATCGCTGAACAAACAATCTCTCTTTGTTATTTGCTATGTGTGGGTGCAGGCTACATGTTTAGCTGTTAATTCATAAAAACCTTCAGATCATGTATTGTTAAAATCAATCTAAGGCTAGATTTTCACAGATTGGTGGGTGGCTGCCTGGCAATCTCACACTTTGCTTCTACAGCCTGAATCAGACGTTGCCTCATCATGCACTGTTTGTTCTATTCTTCATGATCTGTGTCCACAGTGTCATCCAGACCCAACGGATAGAGAACCAGTCTAAACCAGGTCGTTGTGGATGGACAATTGTTTTTGTCGCAAATATCATCATTTTAGTGCATGTTGGCTCTGTTTCGGGGAAATGCGTTAAAATTCACTACAGTCCTGAAAATAAAGGCCCGTTCACATTAAAGGGATAGTTCACTTTGAAATGAATTTTTGATATGTTTTAGCTTACCTCAAGGGCATCCAAGATGTAGGTGTCTGTTTCCGCAGTATAGTTTCAATTTTGATATTTTTTGGTCGTGTCTGTCAGTCATATTACGGAGGTCTATGGTCACCACCTCAAAGAGCATGCACAGAGAAGTCCAAATTAAACATGATTTAATGACTCGTAAAGGTAAGTACACATTGATGGCTAAGACACAAAACGAGCGGTTTGTGTGATAAAACAAACAGAGTATTTATATTGTTTTTACCAGTACATCGCTTAAGTTGAATCAGTATGTTTTGGCCGGAAGCTAAGCTATTTTACATTGTAATGTATTTTATATGGACCAGGTCTGAAAACTCTGCGGTTGATTTGAGCGGGGCTTTTATTTTCATTATCTTGACCAATTAAATTTTATCACAGTTACGAATATAGCCTAATTATGCAGTCTCCTTTTCCTTAACCTTCACAATGAAAATAAAATTGCGGGTCTTGCCATCAGATTAGTCTGGACTTAAAAGCCTATCAATTTTCTTTCTATTTTAACCCAGGCTTTCATTCGATGATCTATTCTCAAAGTAGTAGGCTAGCAGTTTTTATGCTTTCAGAGGCTGTTGAGGAATTTATTAAAAATGAACCTGAAACAAATAACTCAGGCACTCAATGCTCCCCATGACCTGTATTGAATTCTCTCTCGTCTTGAAGCAGCATGGGGTAAGCTAATATTTTATAGATTACACCCGAGTAGTGCCCGTGGCATTCCATGTTCTTTCCTTCAGTCTGCAGCAATAGTCTGATGGAAGTCTGAAAGAGAAAATATTCTGTTTATTCATAAAAGCAGGACATGCTGTGACAAATCCAAAAGATATCCAGGTGGCCGACATTAATATAAGCAGAGACCTCTAGCCATTATCCAGAGTTATTGATTGTGGTTTTGTGGCTTTACAACAACTGCCTGTTCTCAGTGTGTTTATAACAGCCTATTTGAGAGTAAAATGTGATCGTAGTGAATAACACTTTTAGGCTGTACTTTTGACATGATAAATGCAAGAACACTTGATTAATAGCCTGTTTTGTGACATTTTATCTATAGCACACCGTTTACTCTCACATACCAATTATCGAATCCTTTGAGTCCTCTTTCTGTCCTCGAGTCAAGCATCATCATTTTCTCTGTGCTAAAGCTGCATCTGGCAACTGATGACATCTTTGTCAGGAAGACGTATCTGTTAAATCATTCACATCCTCCCAGACTTCAGAACTTCAGATAACCTCTTTTTGGTTAGACCTGTTTCCTTCTCTCATCGTTTGGTAACAATTGTGAGTTTTGGTCCACTTTTTCCCTATTTTTTCCCTATTTTGCCATTATATTTCGGCCAGTGCCATTATATTTCAATAGAGTTTGAATAACAGTTAACATTTAAGTTTAATGACACGGAAGAATCTGAGCTGGATTCTGAGTTTTATTTCCCACTCCCAACTAGACAGCCATCAGTCCAAGACAAAGAGGAATGCTGAGCTCATCAATCTTGTGTTAGAGCTGTTCACCTCTAATCTGAGAACCAGCTGATTGGTTCCCATGGAATGGAAAGGTTAAAGTCTTTTTAAGGGGAACAGTTCTTAAATGAATGTATGCCAAGGTCCCTCTGAGGCCACCAAATCCCTTGACAAAGTGGGACACTGTTGTAGAACAAAGATAGTCGCATGAAGGCATTTGATCCTCACCGCTTCCAAAGAGATTGATTTACCGGAAAGCGATCATTAGTTACAATGGGTTGCAAGCAGAGACTTCACTACTGGACACCTGTATCTCTTTCAGGGATCCCTGAATATTTGACAACGGATGAAAAAATCATCACATTAGTTTAGTCTTTTCATTTTTATAATCTTAATGAAATTTAAATCAAATGTTTGTGACTTTTACTTCATGTCTGTTAGCTTTAAGGCTGTTGGTAAAAAAAAAAAACCCAGTTTCTGTTTCAGCCAAGCATCTTTAACACTCGCACTTGTACCTTTGACCTAATTGAAATCACTTGGACAGGTTTAATTCATTGTGCAAGACAAATCTACACACTACACAGGCATAATTCTCACTTCCCCTCCCCGCTGACCCTTTGGAACAGCCTGTCCCCGGGTGGCTCGGTTCTGTAGTTTTAGTGCCCTGGCTTCAGTTCAGTGGGAACTTGAAGAGGATTTGGT